CTAACTATTTTAGTGATTGTATTCATTTTCATATACGTGAAAGACCAAAGACTCAGTGACTTACTAAGATTCACAATTACTCATATTGTAGTTTTTATTCACAGGCGCAATGTGCCTGGCAGGAGTGGCTGCCTTTCCAATGGGTTGGGACTCCCCGAGGGTGCAGAACCAGTGTGGTGCCGACGCAGGTGTCTACTACCCCAGCAGCTGTACCGTAGGTTGGGCTACCTACCTCACCCTGGCTGCCAGCATCGGCCTCCTCCTCTGCACCTGCCTCTCCTCCTTCGCCGCCAAGTCAACCACTACAGAAGACGTAGCAGAGGAAATCAACAAAGGCAACAACGTTGTCTGTCTCATATAACAGACAAAAACTCACCTCTTGCTGGATCTTGGAGATTTAATCTTTGTATTCTCATTCCTCAGGAAGAAAGACTACTTTCCAATTTGGGTAATGGAGAAGTATTTATTAGACTCCTTAGTTCTTTTTTTTTTTTTTTAGCATTTGGTCTCTGCTTCAGAACGGTAAAATAATGTACAAATGGTTGATGTTTTTCTCCTTTCTCACGGAAACACAAGCTGTTTCCCTGGTAGCTGGTATATCAGAAGCAGAGAATTATCTCATTGCAGGGAAAGCTCTACCAGTGGTCACAACTCATGTGCCAAAGACTATAAGGTGTCACAAATATTGACACACAAGTAGTTGAAGAGACAGTTACTCATCCACTTAGTTACTCGTCCACTTAATTACTCGTCCACTTAGTTACTCGTCCACTTAGTTACTCGTCCGCTTAGTTACTTGTCAACTTAATTACTCGTCCACTTAGTTACTCGTCCACTTAGATACTCGTCCACTTAATTACTCGTCCACTTAGTTACTCGTCCACTTAGTTACTCGTCCACTTAGTTACTTGTCAACTTAATTACTCGTCCACTTAGTTACTCGTCCACTTAGTTACTCGTCCACTTAGTTACTTGTCAACTTAATTACTCGTCCACTTAGTTACTCGTCCACTTAGTTACTCGTCCACTTAGTTACTTGTCAACTTAATTACTCGTCCACTTAGTTACTCGTCCACTTAGTTACTCGTCCACTTAGTTACTTGTCAACTTAATTACTCGTCCACTTAGTTACTCGTCCACTTAGTTACTCGTCCACTTAGTTACTCGTCCACTTAGTTACTCGTCCACTTAGTTACTTGTCAACTTAATTACTCGTCCACTTAGTTACTCGTCCACTTAGTTACTCGTCCACTTAGTTACTTGTCAACTTAATTACTCGTCCACTTAGTTACTCGTCCACTTAGTTACTTGTCAACTTAATTACTCGTCCACTTTGCATATGTTTGATCCTGCAATTTTTGTGAAATACAACTTAATACTTTTAATAAATATCAATTAAATATTTTTAAAAATTTTTTTTTTTTTTTTTTGGGCAGACATACCCTGTCTTCTCTATAGCTTGGGAAAAAAGAAAGAAAATTTTTTTTTGTGTTTTTTTCAGCGGATTAAAAGGGGTGTGTGTTGTGTGTGTGTTGGGGTGTGTTGTGTGTTTTGTGTTTTGTGGTGGGTGTGTGTGTGTTGTTGTTGTTTGTTAAACCCTTTTGTTAGGCACATGTCATTAGAAAAAAGGCCTGTTGTAATAGGCAGTGTGTTGTGTGTTTTGTGTTGGGTGTGTTGTGTGTGGGGATTTTTTTTGGTTTTGGGGTGGGGTGTGTGTGTGTTTGGGTGTTGTGTGTGTGTGTGTGTTGGTTAGTACCATTTTGTCCTAGCACATGTCGATAGACACTAGGCCTGTTTTGTATTATGAGCACGTGTGTGTGTGTGTGTGTGCATATGTGTGTGTGTGTGTGTGCTACGCGCGTGTTGTGTGTGTGTGCACGCGCGTGTTGTGTGTCGTGTTGGTGTGTGTGGTGTGTGTGTGTGTGTGTGTGTGTGTTGTGTGTGGTGTGTTGGTGTGTGTGTGTTGTGTGTGTGTGTGCGTGTTGTGTGTGTTGTGTGGTGCGCGACGCGCGTTGTGTGTGTGTGTGCGTGGTTGCGTGTGTGTGTGCGTGTGTGTGTGTGTGTGGTGTGTGTGTGTGTGTGTGTTGTGTTTGCGTGTTTTGTTGTGTGTGCGTGCGTGTTGGTGTGTGCTGTGTGTGTGTTGCGCGTGTTTGTGTGTGTGCGTGTTGTGTGTGTGCGTGTGTGTCGTGTGTGCTGCGCGTGTGTGTGTGTTGTTGTTGTGTGTGTTGTGTGTGCGTGTGTGTTGGTGTGTGTGTGTGTGTGCGTTGTGTGTGATGGTGTGTGTGGTGCGTGTGTGTGTGTGTACAGCGTTGTGTGGGTGTGGTGTTGAGCAGCAGGTTGTGGTGCGAGTGTTGGTGTTGAGCAGCAGGTTGTGGTGCAGGTGTGGGTGTTTGAGCAACAGGTGTGGTGCGTGGTGTGTTGTTGAGCAGCGAGGTTGGTGGTGCGAAGTAGTGGGTGTTGAGCAGCAGGTTGTGGTCGAAGGTGTGTTGGGTGTTGAGGCAGCACTGGTATTTTCCTCTATTGGTTGTACCATAACTTCCTACCTCCCACAACACCTTACACACTACCAATGACAACAGCCTCACCCACATCACTAACCAACCTTAAACTACAAATGTTGTCACCACAAAAACTACAGAAGCCACTCCCCTTACTGCATTACTACCACCACAAACAATATACAATACTGCTTTTAGTATACACCAAAATGTATACATATTACACACAATGCTAAAATCCTATTATGTGTGGACTGTTAACTTAATGGAGTGTGCTCACAAACAAAGAGAAAGGACCAAAATTCTAAAATAAAAAGTAAACAAGAAATAGACTACCTTACACTGCTATTTGGCTTTCTGGGTGTTTTTGGGCTATAACTGTATCCTTACCCTATGTTTTTTAAGTTTCCATTATTAGACTGAAGACGGCCCCCAGTGGGCAAAACATTAATGAAATTATCTTAGTACCCTAAATGGAAATAAGTCACTGACTTTTTTTTTGTGTGTGTGTGTGTGTGTGTGTGTGTGTGGTGTGGTGTGTGTGTCTGTGTGTGTGTTGTGTGTGTGTGTGTGTGTTGTCTGTGTGTGTGTGTGTGTGTGTGTGTGTGTTGTGTGTGTGTGTGTGTTGTGTGTGTGGTGTTGGTGTGAGTCCTGTGATGTCTGTGTGTGTCTGTGTGTTCTGTGTGTGTCTGTGTGTGTGTGTGTGTGTGTGTCCTGTGTGGTGTGGTGTGTGGTGTGTGTTGTTGTGTTCTGTCTGTGTTCTGTGTGTCTGTGTGTGTGTCTGTGTGTGTGTGTTGTGTGTGTGTGTGGTGTACTCACCTAGTTTGTACTCACCTAGTTGAGGTTGCCGAGGGTCGAGTCACGGCTCCTGGCCCCGCCTCTTCACTGATCGCTACTAGGTCACATCTCCCCGAGCCGTGAGCTTTATCATACCTTCTGCTTAAAGCTAAGATGTAGGATCCTGCCTCCACTACATCGCTTGTTTTGTGTGTGTGTGTTGTGTGTGTGTGTGTGTGTGTCTGGAGCAGGTCTCCAGGTGTCATTTATTTATCGGTGTATATGTATGCTATACATTTAAGGATGTTAAAGAGAGCCAGCCTGAGTGTAATCTGTCTTAGCTGGGACGTCTGGCCTTTACGGCACTATTGCATTTTTCTTCATCATGAATAAACTTGGTCTCTGTCTTTTAACTTGGCAGTTATTCCAGACTATCAACCTTTATATTAATTAACAAATATACAGGAACAAATTCTTCGGGGATCCCAACCCACTGGAAAGGCGGCCACTCCTGCGCGGCACATATGCGCCTGTCAATAAAAACTCTCAAGAAGGGGCTACGTTTCACAGTTTAATGTTCTTTGTCAGGAGAACCGCTGTTATAATTTTTATCCTATCTCAGTGCCCCCTCAAAAGTCAACTTCTATAATAGATACCACCCAGAAGTTGCAACCAATAGAAACTAGACTTGTAACCATTTGATGTCGTTGCTAGGTCAGCAAATGAAAATTCTCAATAACTGATGGACAATCTCCCAAAAGTTGTCCAGACTAACACCTGGATAAGCATTAGTTTAGGCCTTAAGCTAACCATGCTTAAGAGGCCACTTATAAGATTGGGAACATGTTTTGCAATAGATGAAATGAAGAGACGTAATGAAACAGTACTTATAATATTTTAGTGCATAATCACGAAGCCTTGAGAAATTTCATTGGTTTTTTTTTCGCACTGCGAGAAACCAATGAAATCCAAGTGCTTTCGTGATTTCTTTCTCACATTATCGAAGGAACCGTAAAAATGAAAGATCAACAGGAAAGGCATATGAGGACAGACTACACTTCGTGACCGACCTTACAGCATCTGATCCTTTTTTTATATGAATGTTGGTAGGTAGTGAGATCTGTACAAAAGTCATGCTTAAATTCTAATCTACCCAAGCTTTAAGATTTTAACTCATATAATATATCTTGTAAATCTTTCCAAATTTTATTAATTGTAAATGAAATCCATTTGTGTAATCCTAAATAAACATTCATTTTATTTTCAAAAGCAATTTTTATGAAACTTGATTCTCTTAAAATTTAGACCAGATAATATACACTATGATAATCCTAGCGGGACTATTCCCAAATAGTATAATATAAATTTACCTCAAATTTAAAGAAACACTAATGCGAGTCTAATATTACATTAAGTCTCCATTCAACACATTGGCTACAGTTTTTTTTCACCATTCAATTTTCTTGGCTGCCTTGAAACATCCCAAGATCAGTTGGTTTATATTGTCTGTTTGTGTACTTCTAGTGCCTCAGCTATCGTGTTCATCATTATTACACTGTTGTTGTGTTCGCCATATATCCTTTCTTCAGGTCGGCTGCTTTTAACTGTGGGATGCACATCTGCTGCTCCGTCTCTTCACAGATCACGGGTTCCACCAGTTCCCTTCAAGCCACTACTGTGGTGACCCCTTTCTATTTATTCCTCTATCATCTATCTCAAAAGTCCAGTAAACCACTTAAATAGTTTAAATCAGCTGTAAACTGTTATATATAAGGTAATGTAAATAATTTAAAACCACGATAAAAAGCTACACTAAATATTTCCGTGGCAGAATTCATTCTGTAAAATAACTCATATTCCATTGTGAACCAGATATAATCATGAAAATGTTCCATTTCCCACTGTAACTTTTTTTCTTATCAAAACCTTGGACTTCTCTAGTCCCTGTGAACCTATTATGTGCCTCTGAAACTCTTATGACTACCACTCCACGAGAATGGGTATGTGCGCATAAAAAAGATATTAAACTAACTCCTGATTAATAATGGCCAATCCCCTCCACCTTTGCATCCTCTGTCATTTCTCATTATTTATATTCCGAAGGGAAATCGCTCTACTATCTCTGTGAGCATTGTTTATATTAGTGCTATGATGACTGGGGATGCCTCCAGTATTTGCTGATCGGGTTCCATGTGTCCCTCTTGTTTGTCATTCCATCTGCATTTGCCATACTGCCCCTTTCAGTTTCCCCATTCTGTTACTGTTCCTGTGGTTTTTCAGGTCCCTGTCTACCTTCTTGCCCCTGTGTTTGGGGAGGAGGAAGGGGAACAGGAATGTGGAGGTTGAGGAGAACGTAAGGGCTTCAACGACCATGGATTGTTTGTTTACCTGGGAGAGGGTTTTGGGATCAATGCCCCCATGGCCCAGTCTGAAAACAAGGCCTCATGGTGGATAGGGGGGGGGGAGGGTCTGATCAACCAAGGCTGTTACTGCTAGGCCGCACACAAGCTGACAATACAAACCATCAGACCCCGGTTTGTCAGTGTACTGACTTTAGGTGCCTGCCAGTGCCTTCTTGAAAGACAGCCGGGGTCTATTGGTAATACCCCTTATGCGTTCCTGGAATCCAATTGAACAGTCTTGGGCCTGGACACTTATTGTGTTGTCTCCTGCAGTGTACTCGTGGCAACCCCGCTTTTCTTCAAGGGAATAGTTGCATCCTCCTACCGAGTCTTTTGGCTTTTCATATAGTGATTCTTCATGTGCAAGAGTTTGTATCAATCCCTCCAGGACCTCCAAGTGTAATATTGTCATATATCTCTCTCGCCTGTGTTCGAGGGAATAAGATCAAGGACCTTCAAACCGTTCCCAGTAGTTTAGGTGTCCTTATCCCACTTATGTGTGCTGTGAAAGTATCCATTGTACACCTCCAACCAGGTCCTGCAATGTTGCCAGCCTGAAGGGGGCCCATTAGTGTACAGCAGGATTTCCAGCCTAGAGAGCACAGCGATATTTGAAGAAATCATCAAGGGCTTTGCGTCCCTAGTTTTGAAAGAGTTCTCCATTTTCTATCCTATCAATTTCCTAGAGGATGAGGTAGATACATTGTTGTGGTCTTTGAAGGCGAGATTTTCTGACATTATCACTCC